GTACATAACTTTTTTGAGGTTTTCATTGTGGTGCTCGATCAGATTGTGGTCTTCCGAGTTATGAGATCATGCACTCCTGCATCCACATTCAAGATCACACACTGATACTGAAAATTGAGGCATAAAAGTTCTCTGAAACATTGGCTGTCACAAGCCAGAAGGCCACAACTTGTAAATAAACTATTGCAAAATACTCCCAGACAGAAAACTGCAATAAAAAGGGCCTTCAAACAAAAAAACCTATCTGATTAAAAATCAAGCAGAATTCTGTTACCATAAGTAAGTAAACAGCAACTGCTGTTTACTCGCTTTTGCCTAGCAACCGCTGTTTACTTGTCGTTGCTAAGCAATGACGCTTGCGTTGTCACACTTGCTTGAATGTGGGCAGTTCCCACAGTGTCATTTCTGTATCAAGAGAAAAAATTTACTGTAAAGTCAAAAACATTTCTTGATAATAATTACAGAGCTGCTAAACCTATAAGCTTGCTTACACTGGTGTGTTACTAACATCATTACATAAATGCATTACTTCGTACCGGTAAACATTTTGCAATTATTAAATGAGAATAAATGACATTCATATATAAACATACGGTGTCCAGCACTAATACCAGAATCAGAGGGAATATCAAAACTTCAATCAAAGAGTTCAGGTTATTGTGAGTTAATGCATCTAGTTCTGAGGTTAAAAATGTTGGAGCTATACCTCCGCTCCCTCAAACGTCTTCATGGCAAAGTACCTAATTACTTACGCAAAGGAACAACTTTACCTTACCTCAAGGCAGCATAAATGATGGTATGACAAAAATATACAGTAAGTTTATCTCTGTGCTTAATCAATTAAGCATCATTTCATGACGACACTGCGCGGCCATTCTTGACCTCAGCCCAAAATTATTAAATCGAAGGAAACAGGCTTAATTGTGAGGACTGCAGAATACAAGCCAAATAAACAGATATATTGAGAACAGTGTAAAATGTGACACTAATATCTCTCTTAAGTCATAAAGATCTCTTGCATCATGTTCTCAGCAATCCTCTATCTACAATACTAAACATTGTGGTTGAATACATATCACCTTTGCTTTCTGTTCCAGAAGTTCCAAATTTGATACTTAGCCCAGAGGTCAGCCATCTTCAATAAGGTTTTCTGTGCTTTTCCTCAGTTCTTCCATGCAGATCCTAGGATAGTGCCTTCCAATAGGCCATGTATAGTTCCTTCCATACCTATTCTATTTCATCATACACAGTTCCTTCCAAGGTTATATAATTCAAGCAACAGAGAAATTAAATAAACCAAGAAGACAAAAAATAAAAGGAGGAACACGGGGTGAAGAACAACAACAACAACAACAACAACAATAATAACAATACGAAATACCAACAAAACTTCATACAAATCTACAAGTACCATACATCAAAATATGCAGTTGGGAATCCTGGCTTTCTTTTTCATGTCAAATGGAGACAACCTTCTCCTTAAAGTAAGCTTTGATCTTCTGGCCTCCCTTTCAATGGATAACCAACTGAAGTACAAGGCTAACAACGCACCTCTCTGTAATGTTGAGGAACAGGAGTAGTTAGGCTGTGCCATAGCTCAAGCGATTAATCGCTGGCTTCCCACAGCGGTGGCCTGGGTTTGATCACGGGTCTGGTCAAGTGGGACTTGTGGTCGACAAAGTGGGGCTGGGGCAGGTTTTCTCTGAGTAGTTTGGTTTCCCCTGCCAATCTTCATTCCACCAAATTCTCCATCATCATAATCACCCGGGGCAGGTTACAATAGGCCGATCAGTGGCCGCTGTGCTGAGTGGACCCAGTTGGACTCCACCCTCCACTAAGCGAAAATTTAACGGGAGTGGTTTAATTTATGCTTCCATCTTTGCTGTAGAATGGAAGCCTTTCTGATTAACAACTGATGTTAATCCACATATACAAAAGTCTAAGGCTTACCACTTTGTCAGTACTCTGTCATTATACACCAGCCAGAGTTGTAAGCAGTTAAGAACATGACAGCCAGCTGGCAATGAGAACCTATTCTTTAGTAGGCACTGCACTTTTCACCTCTGCCAAGAGAAAATTTCTACTGTTGATAGCATGCGTATTCAGTGGAATTATGATTTAATATGTCAGAATGGATCAATGGAGTCAGCTGTTGAAAATATAGTTAAAGATGGGAGTTCCACACGAATACTTATCACAAGAGAATGGTTGTCAATACAAGAAGATAACAACCAGAAATAACTCCATTACCAGACACAAACACAATGACAGCCTACATCACAAAGTAATAAATAAAAACAGGATCCCAGCGGAATCCACATACTGCACCTATATAAATACGTACAAGAAAATTAACTTAAATATATATCCATAAAAAGTATGTAATATGTAATCATTTTATGACTAAAAGACTTTTAATAATCAAGTGACAGCATTTACAGCATTATAATGTTTAATATTTTAATAAAAGATATGGACACTTCAGCCCAGATTGAAAAACCTACAGTATAATATATCAAATGTAAACACTGGCCAATGTAGAGAAGGAGCAGTCAGGCTAACCGTGGGTGTAACATACATGACAATCGTGGCAAAAAGGCCAAAATATGTATGTAGTAACGTTTAATGTGTAAAATACAAAAAAAGTTGTACTGACAGAGACCAACACGACTGAAATACATATGACAGAAATGGGAATTGGTTATTTTGGAGGTTCTACCCATTTTTGGCACTTCAGATCATTCAGTGTAGCTGAAGAAGATGGAGTATATGGCTGTAATGTCAGAATGACTGTTGTTAGTACCTGACACTATTTATTTTCTATCTGAGGGCCAAATCAGTGAACCACCAACTGTCATAGTTGATCAAGTTGTGACTAAAAGAAACAGAACAAAGAGACAGATTTGATGAAGTCTGTTTTCAACAAATTCCTGATGGAATTTCAATAAGCTCTACGTTAATTATGCAAAAAAGGTCACAAGAACAAGGCTGTAATTTCAGGTTCACAGAAATATTACACACTTTTGAAATGAAGAGCTAATAGGAAAACCATTTTATTAGCGAATCAAAGTTTCAAAATATATATGTGTAATATACATATGTGGCATTAATCAGTTTCTTTTGCATATTACATGCAAATATTTTCCACACATAAGAAACTGTTTGACCTGAGAGAAACAAATAATTGAGTTGTTTCTTTCAGGAACTATACATACTGACAGACATGTTTCCAATCACTTACTGCTACGCAGGGTGACATGTATTATACAACACACTACATGCATTTTGTTTCAATTCACTTACATGTATGACAACTTCATAAGCCGGTCAATTACACAGGAGTTCACATGTTTTACTACAAAAAGGACAAGAAAAACAATTGCCAACCTTATACAAATGGCTTCTCTGTACTAGCCAAGAAAAATCTGTACATTTCAGCCAAATTGAGGAGCCTGTCTGAACATATATTGTGCTGAGTTGCCAAACAATATCAATATTTCTGCATATCAAAGGTAAGATTCCAATCTTGATAACAAATACAAAATCACAATAAAAATTAAAAAATTTTCATTTAGAATAGTACCAATTTAAAGTGGAATTAGAAAGATCCAGCATTACTTTCTCCCAGGTGCTTTAGAAATTTACATTAAGTGAAATGTGTAAATGCTGATTCTCCTAAACAGATCAGCATTTGGCAGAATAGATACTGTAACGTGTTTGGAGTAGATACTTCTATGGCAACGCAATAACAGTGAACCGTTGCGTAGATAATGCCGAAACAACGAACGCATTTCCCCGGAGATGAACAAGAGAAGGCCGTTGAGTACCAACAGATGAGACGAAACACATTACCGCCGTAATCTAAAGAGATTGTTCCCGAAGCAACAGATTGCCGGACAAGTGAGATCGAACCTCGGCGAATGGTGTCTCGTATCCGGTCCAATAACACCTACATAAGTCGAGAGCTACAGAGCTAATTAGCCTTCATACAGCGCAGTTGGAACCCAGCCTTCATACAAGACAGTTGAGATCTACCCTTCATATGACAACAGTTGAGAGCTAGCCTTCATGCAGGCACAGAGCTACTTAGCCTTCATACAGCGCAGTCGGAACCCAGCCTTCATACAGCACAGTTGGAACGTAGTCGAGACATCGCAGAAGTCGAGTGATACCACAAGCGATAATAACTGTATTGTGTGTAAGAGTGTGTATCCAATAAAGATTTGCTGAATCCGAGACCCATGTGAATTTATTTGTCGTGTGACATACCCAACATATGACAATATTTAGGCCAAACCAGTTTATGTGCCATATTCACAGAACAAAGTTCTTTTTTATATTAGAGTTCAAATTAATTCTTCCTTGCATTCACCCTAACACTGGCCAATGAGGTAATCCAAATCACAAGAACTCATTCAGAAACTCTCCAAAAATAAGAATGCACATCTCCATCTTAGTTTTATATTCTACTGTATGTAATAATTAGATTTGTTAATTCATATTTCATATTAAACTAACAAATTTTGATACAAGTAACAACTATAATAAAATGAAATTTTCTGGACAAGAAAACCATTTAATGATAGACTTCAAAATCATCACACACAGCTGACATACTTGACAGTTTTACCACAAAATGATTAAATAACAAAGATACAGTAAACACTTTTAAGGTCCTCAGTGTTGGTAACATCAATGTTAATGATGAATTTCGGAAACGCTACTATAGAAATGTCAAAAACATCAAGAATATTTGCCTCAGTGCAAGGTTCATTCTCCTACAAAATGACCAGATTTAAAATCTGGGGCCATTCCCAGCAGCACAGCTGATATACCTTAAAACGCTTCCATTTCTTTTCCTACATTTATATCACACCAGTTCAAATACATGGTTCTGTTTTTGCTACTGTTTCCATTCTAAATTACCGACATCAACATTGGAATTCTGCCAGTGATATTAACGGATGTTAATACTGAATGGTAACTCACATCACTGTATACCTGTGGTGGTTGATGGGATATATCCTGGTGTTCTCTAAGTGTACTGGGCATGTCTCGACAGAACCATTTCTTTGCCTTCATCTGCTGAAGCACTCCGTCCTGCTCTACTGCTGTGTCAGCTACTGATGCCCTGATCACCCCTTGGTCAGAACTTGAGATCTTTGATTGCTTGAGGAAGATCTGGAAGCTTCATGTCTTTTATTTGCTGTGGGATGTTCATGTTCTTAACTGCTGACACAGCTCTTGCAGGAGCTGCTGCAATTCCAGCCTGCCATCACACCAAAAATACTATATGAACAATTTTTCAATGCATGTAATATGACTACGACCACCTCTGTGGTCTAGTGGTCAGAGTTCCTGGCTACAGATCAAGAGGTCCTGGGTTCGATTGCCGGCGCTACCAGATTTTCTGAGAGGCAATGGGTCTGGAACGGGGTCCACTAAGCCTCGTGAGGATACCTGTGGAGCTATTTCAAGGAAAGAGCAGCTCCAGTCTAGAAAACCGAGATTAACGGCCATGGGGACCCGTTGCACTGACCATGCAACACCCTCTACCTGAAGAAATTGGCACTAACTTCGCCGACAAGCGACGGTCGCTAAGTCAGTATAGTTCTCTTGTGGACTACAGGCCATGGAGTTTGTTTTGTTTATGTAATATGACAATTTAAAATACACGAAGAAGCAGTTATAAATAAGTTAGAAGAGGAAGGCATATCATAATTCTGGCATGTCTGCTAACTTTAGGTTAACTAGAAAACCATAAGACATATAGAAAACATGTACTGGGCATAAAACATGGATTCATCTCCACTGCTTTTGTTGCAGACACTTTTCACTGAGATTTATGTGAGAGTTAAAACACGAGATGCATGTAGAATCATGCTGTCTTCATGTAAAATGTCTACTATTGTTACCCAAATTTAAGCAAATTAGAACAGACCACCAAATTTTAAACTCCCAAATATTAGATTTAATAAATATTTGCTCTACAATTTTCAAGTTGTTTCATGCAGGCAAACATACAGACAGACAGAAAATTATTAACAGCTGCTCTACAGGAATAGGAATACACCTAACAGAAGTTTTACATTCACAAGGTTACACAAATCACACAGCATACACACTTATAAAACTTTCAAATGCAATCAATTAGTAAAAAAAAATGTTGCAAAGCTTTGTTCTGTACAGTAAACAAAAGGTTAATCCAAAGTATTACTATTTTAGAGGATGATGTTGATTTTAGCATAGGTATAAGGTGATTGCCAGTCACGGTAGCTAAGCTGTCTAAGGCATGTGCTGTCTTCGCTCGCTGGGAAGCTGGGATCATGGGTTCGAAACACACACAAGGCATGGATGTTTGGTGTGTGTATGCGTTTATTCTGTGTTTAGGTACAGGCCTTGTGATGAGTCCTACTGTCTGTAAAATTTTCAATGAAAATGAGAAATCAGCACTATGCTCCAAAGTGGGAGTGAGGGGGGAAAAAATGAGGTTACTTACTTACAGTTTTACTTATCTAGGAATTATATACAAATTAAATTCTGAATGCAATGGATGTTTAAAGAAATCCATCTGCTTCAATTATACACTATAAAGTTAAAATAACACAACTATGGATTGGATGGACATTACCTGCACACAGGATCAGTAGCTGGAAATATATTCCAATAAGTAGTAACACACAGTCATTAAGGCACGATTCAGTACAATGGGGTTAGATTAAAAACACGTGATTGTTTTAGAAAACCGCCTGGCTGCGCCACAGCTCAAGCGGTTAGTCGCTGGCTTCTCACTGCGGCGGCCCGGGTTCGATCCCGGGTCTGGTCAAGTGGGATTTGTGGTGGACAAAGTGGCGCTGTGGCAGGTTTTCTCCGAGTACTTCGGTTTCCCCTGCCAATCTTCATTCCACCAACTGATCCACAATCACCCTCACCTATCATCTGGGGCTGGTACAATAGGCCACAAGTGGCTACAGTACAAAGGTCTTAGTCCCAAATCACTAGCAATAAAAAAGAAAAAAAATAGAAAACCACCTTCTTATGACCTCTCAAAATCTTTTAATTTGTGAGATTCCTTAGTACAGCTATTCCCTCAAAAACGTTCTTGAAATACATACACCTCCAGTTCAGAATGAACCTAATGTAGCAGCTGGTTGAACACTTCTCATTGCACAAGTCTGTAGCAGGGAAACAGACTTCACCATGCAGCATAGCCTCACCCAAAACATTTCAGTCCACCCCTCACAAAAAGAAGTATTAAAATTTGTGCTGAGTGTACAGAAAAGAATTTCCTTGAGAATTCTAGTGGGAAAATCTAATGAAAAATGTCTCTTCAAAGACAGAATAATATGGGATTATAATATTAAAATGGATCTTAAGAAAGTGAATGAGACTTAACTTTGTCAGAGTCCTGTCCAACAACACGATTTGCTATTGACTGTACTGAACCTTCAAAGTCTATTACCAGAGCATGAAATGCTTATATTAAATAAACGTGTATGTTGTATTGATAGAATATGTGAATTACACACAATTCAGATTAGCATAACGAAGCCAAAGAAGACAGCATAACTACTGGCAGCATCAGCAGGCAGGTGATGAAGCACTCTCCTAGAAGGCAGATACTGAGCGAAATTCACATTGCACAGCCAGCACAAAAAGGAACTAAACCACTTCTGACACAATGAAATTTATTGTGTGGTGCAAATTTATCTTTTTTCTGGTTTCCGAAGTCTTATGTAAAACTATAAGGAGGAGGAGATACAAGTAACAGGAGGCTGAAGGAAACTGCGTAAATTTGAAGCTTCATAATTTGCACTCCTCACCAAATATTATTAGCATGATAAAAATTAAGGACATGATGGGCAGGGCATATAGCATATTTGGAAGAGGAGAGAAATGCATACAAAATCTTTGTTGGAAAATGTGAAGAAGAGACCACTTCAAAGCACTAGGGATAGATGGGAGGATACTATTAAAAAGTGTATTAAAAAAAGAATTGAAAGGTGTAAACTTGACTCTTCTGGCTAAGGACACTGGCCACTGGTGGGGTCTTGTGGGCAAAGGTAATGGAGTAAAATGCTTTGAATTTCTGGACTAACTGAACATGTATTTACATCACAAAGACTCTGCTGGATTTAGTTACATTAGTTTAAGTTACGTATGAAACTTCTGAAGGACAGGTCATCTTGTCTGGTTTTTAATATTATACTGTATTTTAAAAGTGATGATCAAACTCCAGAAGTTCATTTCTGAGTGTGAATGATATATATATTTCAGATAATCCAAGAACTGCAGCTGACAATAGATGGAATTCATTCTTAATAGGTAAGAGGTAAAGATGACATGAAGACATGTAGGGGAGTGGCGGTACAGCTCCACCATTTTTGATCTTGGTACTGGACAGAGATGACTGGTTAGCTTCAAACCTTGGCTGCTTTCCCCCTAGGGAAATAGCCCCAGGTGCTCATTAAATAGGAGGCTGGGTGGGCCATGAAGCTGATATCGATGCTGTGGAAAAGTGAAACATCTCTTTCCCTTGTTGGGAATTGAATCCAAACCATCCAGCCCATAGTCTGTCACTATACCAAATGAGCTATCCCAGGTCTGCCAAGCGTTCTTACTTCCAGAGGGAAGTAAAAAGGTAAATTTTCCTCTGTGTTTAATTAGTTAATCGTGATGCCTTGAAGGCATATGGGGAGTGGAAGTACAGGTCCACCTTTCTAGACCTCGGAACTAGATGGAGACGAGTAGTCAGTTTCACGAACCTGCTTTTCCCTGGGGAAAAGCTCACAGTATCCATTGGATAGGAGACTGGGTGGGCCCCAGAGTTGTCTTGCACTGCTCAGAACTGAACCCAGACCATCCAGCCCATAGGCCATTTCTAAGGAGGAACTAAGGTTTTGTTACATAACATCTGAATAAAAAGACTGGAAATGTGTGGAGCATTATGTTTGTTTCTGCCCTGTTAGGTTGGTCCTTGTCAACATGGGAAAATTTTATAAGTTACTGCTTACTGAGTTTGAAAATGCCTGCTGGTCAGTCCTCCCAGTTACTATCCTTCCATGTGTTTCCTTAAGAACTTGCTTTGGTATGATGAAGGAATGATTTCTTTCAATCGTCAGGCAATCCATATGAGTAGTGCATATTTACAGTGTTTCTGATGGAACTTGCATGCTCACCTAGTCTTCTGTGAGACTCACGTTCTGCAGGTGCCAACATATTTTGAGACAAAAAGCCAAAATAACATGATGCCATGCAGTCATTATTTATCTGGTTCAGTTCCTTACTACACTGACTGAAAAGCACATGGGTTCAAACCTCTTAGAGGGTCATTGGGAAAAGAGACGTCGAACACGGCCATGACGTGGGATCCTCCCAGGAGCCATTTGGAGAGTCAAGGCTTCCAGAGGGCTCTGGAAATATAGCAAGGTCACATAAAGCAGAAGAGAAGAAGAAGAAACTAAGGGAAATGATCGGGTATATTGCATTAGTTGAGGGGGAAAATGCTTCATATCATGATAACAATAACCAGTCATGGACAGAAACACAGCATCTTGGATTTTATAGCAGACAGGATCTTTGAAATACAAGAGATAGCAATTCTTATTTTCAGCATTACAATTTTCTGGGATGCGACATCATGTAGTTTGGAAGATGGGTTTCTCCAAAATGTTGGTACTCATCTACCCAACTACATGATGTCACAGTCCAGTTGGTGGTATCCTTGATATTTGCAGCTGTGAGAACCTCAATTTCACAATTATTATTTTATTTATTGTTTCATTTAACAACAATGTCTGTAGCTCAGAATATGAAGTGTCCATGTAATTCTTGCTATAACCACTACCATTTCAGTTACTATAATGTCATCATATTAAAGCTCCAACAATTCAATGAGGTGCTCTGGCAGAAGGGCGTGATGGTCCTCTGTCTAGCTAGGCCACAGCAATATAGACTACTAGTACAACTGACATCACAAAATGTTTACATTTATGCAATGTAGTTCTTTTGTGGAAACAGAATAACCTTGAAATCTCTATCACCTGTCCAAGACATCTGAGAGATATCCAAAGAAAATATCAACCTTAACACAGATTTTAGCTAGTACTTCCTTTCAATAAAACACAAGTGTTCAATTCAGTCTTATCTTTCTGTCCACTAATGACAAAAGTAGGACTAGGACTAACCTTCATTTTCCTGATAATGACAACAGAAAGCATTTCCAGCACCTGCTATAATTTCATTATTTTCCATTTGTACCTTATTAGG